CCATCCTCCATACCACCCTTCCATCCTCCCTACACTCTTCCACCCTCCCTCCATCCTCCATACTACCCCTCCATCCTCCCAACACTCTTCCATCTTCTCTCTATCTCGCCCTACCTCCCCTCTCTACCTCTCTCCATCCTCCCTACACTCTACCACTGTCCCTTCCTCCCCTCCATCCTCCCTACATCCCTTCCATACTCCCTACATCCCTCCATACTGCTCCTCCATGTCCATCCTCCCTACTTTCGTACATCCTGTCATATCCATCTACCCTGATCAGCCTACATCCCCCGTCCGCCCCCCCCCCCAACTTTACCACCATCCTTTTGGCCATCCTATTTGCCCCCATCTTTCACTCTATAATTCATGTATCCCCTCTGTCCTTCCTATTTATCGTCCAATCTTCACTCCCTTTCTATTCCCTCCGTCCTCCCTACTCAACCTCCATCCTTACACCTCCCTGCTAGTCAATATTTGCTCCTACCTACCCAACCTTATCACCTACCTACCCCTGCACCTCCCCTATGCCCATCTCCTTAATGTTGTCCCACGCTCCTTAGACTGTACTATTCAGGAACTAATAACCTTTATTTTAACAGGTCTCTGAAGCTTGCGTTTGCGCCGACATAGTTACAAGCGGTGTTAAACCCAACTCACTCGCTGTTAAGTTTAAAGCCCCAAAACTGAAAATGTTAAGTTGCTGAATAATAAAAGGCACCAGCTGAGCAGCTGCTTGATGAGGTTTAATTTTAGCAATGTCAATGCTGAATATTTATTACACGCCTTTCCAGGCTTCATATCCTGCTCAAAGCGCATAATCAGATTATTATCACCCCGGAAACCCGGGAGCTGCCTGTGAAGCGCTAGAAGGTTAATAGTCACATGTCATATCCCGCTTGGTGCCCATTTTCTGCTGGCGAACAGAGGTGAGACCACATGTATCACATGTGCTTCGTTGTGGGGCAGGACTGAAGTCCTAGAAACTCTCAGGAGTCAAGCTGCCAAACACGGTCACCCATCCAAGGACTCTCCGCGCCAAATGTTGCTTAACTTCAACAGATTTGTTACGACAGGACCACAAACCACCTCAATATCACTGTGGAGGACACCAGAAATGGGCTTCACACATTGTACTCATGTGGGGAATCGAACCCGAGTCTTTAGCGTGACGAGTGGACGCTTTACCCACTAGGCTAACCCACCGCCCCAGCTGTATGATGACGTTATCCTGCTCCTTGGCCTGATTAATGACCACACTATACATGGGACCACATGCCACTACGTATTGTTGGTAAACCGTGAAGATCCGGGTTAGAACTGGTCTTCAGATTCCCATGCTTGTCGTAAGGGGTGATCGGGTAGAAAAGCTCGCTGACTTGGTTGACACATGTCATCGTATCCCAATTGCGTGGATCGATGCTCATGCTGTTGATCACTGGATTATCTGGTCCAGACTCGACTATTTACAGACCGCAGCCATATAGCTGGACTATTGCTGAGTGCGGTGTTAAACAACAAACCAACAAACCAACCAACCAACCAACCAACGTATTATCTATTGGTAGTTTTACGTGTGTGAATACAGGATACACATATTTCCATCCCCGATTTCAGCGTATTCATCTGCTCAGAGGGAAATCAGTAGGAAATGCTCCATGCAACGCCACGCCATGAATGTGTCCTTGACTCTTCAGGAATTAAACGCCTCGTCATCACATTGGGGCAACTCCACAACAAAAGGGCATGAATCACCAGTGATGTTACAGATTTCTGCAGGAAATGATTTGTCCGCTATCAGTGAAAGAACAAAAATTCTAATTATAAAAATGTTTTTAAGGAAACATGTACTTTTCGTCGAATTTTGCGCTTACGATACGTGGGAAAAAATTATAAACACTTCCTGGTTCATTGTTAAACTTGTTTAGCATCCGTATTTAAGTGAGTTGATAAACATGTATTACTAAACGAGTCACCCGTGGAGATTCGGGTTAGAATTGATCTTCAGTAACCCATGCTTGTCGTAAGAGGCGACTAATGGGATCGGGTGGTCAGACTCGCTGACTTGGTTGACACATGTCATCGGTTCCCAATTGCGCAGATCGATACTCATGCTGTTGATCACTGGATTGTCTGGTCCAGACTTGATTATTTACAGACCGCCGCTATATAGCTGGAATATTGCTTAGTGCGGCGTAAAACTCAACTCACTCACACTAAACGAGTCCGTGTTAAGCCGTTGTATACGTGTGTTTCAAAACGTATCGAACCACTTTGTAAGAAACATCCTCAAGCGGGTGCCCAAATGTAGTGTTGAACATTACAAATTGAATATTTAACACGGTAGTATTTCTTTTACACAGTGGCAATGTCCTGGACGACAAAAGCTTGTTATGCCACATTATCTTAGTCAATCTGATAATTTCAACCAGTCACCATGAACTCCTCAATGTCATTGGGCGATACTGCTGAGGCATGGAGAAACGGATGTGACGTCATCAGTCATCCATATATGGTATGTTCAGACAACTCATGGCTCACTTGTGCTGATAACATGGTTTTACGGACGGATGTCAGCACTTTGCTATATGCCAGCATTGACTCTAAGCTGAACTGGAACTCTAACACTGAAGCCCTATACAAAAAGTGTCAACAACGTCTTCATCTCACGCGTAAACTGAGATCTTTTAATGTTAACCCATCTGTGATGTCATCTTTTTATGTAGCATTTATTCAGAGTATTTTAACATTTTCCTTCCATTGTTGGTACGGGTCTCTCTCACTTCATCTCAAATCTAAAATAGACAAAATTGTTAACACTGCAAGTAAAATCGCTGGAGTCAGATTTGAATGTTTATCATCAATATATGAGCGGCAAATCGTGAATCAAGCTGTCAAAATCATATCTGACCGTACTCACTACTTAAATTCGGAATACAACCTCCTCCCTTTATTCCAAGTACCTTATCTCTCTTAAACAAATGTGAAGATACCTAAATCAAAGAATTTATGTAAATATGTTTGGTATCTCTCTGATGTGTCAGTAGCTCTGCTGATGTAACACAAATTCCTGAAAAAGGCATTAAAGTATTATTCTATTCTATTCTATTCTATTCTATTCTATTCTATTCTATTCTATTCTATTCTATTCTATTCTGTTCTGTGCTGTGCTGTGCTGTGCTGTGCTGTGCTGTGCTGTGCTGTCCTGTCCTGTCCTGTCCTGTCCTGTCCTGTCCTGTCCTGTCCTGTCCTGTCCTGTCAAAAATCGAGAAAATGCTGTGATTGTTTTGGTTAGCAACGTACCAAGCCGTCGGTGTACGATGACAGGCAATCAACAAAGTCTCCGAGTCCGACCAACCGATCCACCTATACTTACTGGGGATCTTTAGTCTTACCTAGAATCCAATCCGATTAAAAGATCCGGGCCTAGAGTTTCGAAGCTCTCTTGGCGCTAAGATAGTCGTAAGTTAATGTCAATGTATGGCACTTACGACAATCTTAGCGCTAAGAGAGCTTCGAAAATCTGGACCCTTAATGTATGGCACTTACGACTATCTTCGAAAATCTAGGCCCTGGATCAGTTTCACAAAGCTATCGTAGCGTTACGTACAGTACTCATTTCCTGCAACATAGACTTACGACAGTCGTAGCGACTATCGCAACTCTTATGCTTTAATGTAGACTTAAATTACGAGAGCTGTAGCACTAAGATCATTTTGTGAACAGAACCCTGTCTATCTATCTGTTTTGACACGAGGCCATAGCGATATGGTGCACGTAGATGTGAGATCCTTCCTTGTGACGATTTGCAGGAGATAGCACACACCCCGGACACAACCATGACACACCCAGTAGTCCTGAGCATGTAAGTCCTGATATGTAACAAAAAAATAAAAACTCCGAGTATTCCCATACTCCCTTTTTCAATTCTTTGAAATTACTTTTAAGGATGAAAAAGGCATCAGTTATATACAACTCGCTAACTATTATCAAGACTCGTTCACTTGCCTCGACATAGCACTGTTTAATATTGTACGCAGAAATATTATCTGAAATGTGAAGGTCCGAGTTGGAATTGGTCTTCAGCAATTGGTTGAGATGACATTGTTCTTATTCTCCTGACGTCATTCTTCGTTTACCAATTGTCTTGAACGATTGTAGACAGCATGAGTGAGTGAGTGAATGAGTTGGGTTTTATGCCGCTTTTAGCAATATTCTAGCAATATCACGGCGGGGGACACCAGAAATGGGCTTCACACAATGTACCCATGTGGGGAATCTAAGACGGGTCTTCAGTGTGACGAGCGGACGCTTTAATCACCACTGCATGGGCTACCCCACCGCCCCTTTGTCGTGGGATACGTACGACCGTAAATATAGACAGAAACGTTGCAACATACACGTGACGTCCTCAGATCTTCGCATGTGATTTACATACTCATCATAATCATAACATCAACAATATTCTTCAACTGCAGTAAGAGTGAGTAAGTTTTTACACCACTGTAAGAAGTGTTCAAGCTGCGTGACAACGATTGTGCTTGGAATGGGCTTCGCACACTTAGTTTTTTCTTTGAGTATATTACCATTTTGATGCCTTTTATCTGCCTGCAAGGTTCGTATCCAAAGAAAGACAATTTTGATTTCAGAGAGAGGAGAGTTGGTGGATATTTTATCCCAGAAAATATGTGAAAACATAAACTGGTCATAATAGATGTACTGAAAACTGTGTGTGTATTAATTAATTGTTCAGCTCCTGTAATTCAAGCTGATAGTCTCTTGCAAACATCCTATTACCGCCAAGTAGAATAAAATGGTTGTTGCTGAAGGCGTCTGCCACAGACGACCTCCACTGTATCTAGAAATGTAGGAATGGGTGTCCACATTGTCTAGCAGCACAGGGTCACCATAGATTAAGGACAAAGTTTATCATCCCGGGCTTTTAGTGAGTGCCAAGTTTGTGGGATGGTCATGTTTCCGCATTTTCAGTATAGATCTGCCTGTGTTGTATCACTCAAGTACACACACGCTAAAAGTGGTTCAAGACGGCATTCACAGCCAGGCAAGGACTCGTAAGGTAATTATAATAAATATCGTGTATGTTTTACTTGTAACTTTCTGATATTATTACATATTTAACATTATGAATTACAATATTCGTACTTTAAGAAAATCAATAACCACTGTAATGTTTTATAAACTTAAAGTAAAGGGTAATTATGTTGATTTCTGCTATTTTAAAATTGTACTGTTTAATCTTTGATGTTAGAATACTAGTATATCGAACTCCTATCAATGTCCGTGTCCCTAACGCAACTTAAGACGAAAATGGTTGCTTAATTTCCAAATACGAAAGCAAAAGGAATATTTGGATATCCCTGTAAAGAATTAAAATAGCAAGCTTATCGTCATCGTATTGTCGGGTATTTTTGTGCTCACAAACGTTTGACAAAACAAAGAGGAATATTACACACGGACATATATCGGTTCGTGCGTGAACAATTTCATATTTGAAATACATTCGTAATGACATTAATAACTAGCTAAGAACACATTAAAATGAAATATAACACTTCAGTAATGTTTCTACAGAATAGTGAGTGAGTGAGTGTAGTTTTACGCCGAACTCATGATGTCAGTCACTGGGTTAGAACTACTAGATTCCATTAGCTTAAAGGTCACATGCAACGTAAAACACAACTTTGCAGATTCTGATACCTTTCGGTATGGACTTACCGAAACAAAGCGTCAAAAATGCAAATTCAACTTATAAAGTTGAAAAATAACGCGATGAAAAAAACCGCGCGAAATCGGAGTTCAAACGTTTCACTAATTTTCCCCAGACTTTTCTGGGGAAAACGGGTTTCAACAGCTGGGCTGCGCTCATAGCACGTGCGCAGTGAAATAGGTTCGCGCAACTTGGAAGCGGGCTGTCCGGTGAATACTCGGTGAAGGCTTTGGTGTGAGCTATTTTCATAATGTTTTGTTGATATCTCACCGGCGCGAGCTTTTTATATGTTATGACAGTAAATAAACTGTTTATATAACTTCATTTGTCTATTTCACCACACGTTCTTCTTACCGATTCACTTTCTCAGTTCGATACTTAAAAGCAATGTCATTATTTAGCGTTGACACAATTTCTAACTGTGATATAGATATGTCGCTGTCACAGACAAAACTCAATGTCTTGTTTTATTGACACCTGTGTCTGCCTGCCTGTCTGCTAATGACAATATTCAATACACAACTGCGATCACTGACCACATGCAATTTGAACTTAACACCTATCAGGCTATACACCATAAACAAAACGCATTGATTTATGGCCCGAGTTCGGTCTCTGTCACATTAGGTAATTACACGGACAGGCAGGCAGGTGTGATACTTGAACACATGACATGTTATGATGTCTGTTGATTGCAAAATGTTATACACAAAAAAAGGAGCATGTATTTACAAAACCCAACATCTCTATATATACACACACAATGAGCCGTGAAGGCGGCATCTGCTAATGAACCAGACGTTACACTTGAGTGCACACCCACCCGCTCTGACTGGGTTCGGTATCCCGGCTGCTTCGTTTCGAGGGCGGTAAACCCAAGTACAAAATATTGCACTTTTGATTTGCGATTATACGCTTATAATTTTGTTTATTTGTTTTTTCATAATCAGCAATGCATATTATATGTCATGAAGAAGTGATAATTGTGTTTTAATTATGTTTGATTTTTTGGTTGCATGTGACCTTTAAGTTTCGCGGAGAGGAATAAACAAAAAATAGGATGGCTATTTGTTTAACACCGCACTCAGCAATATTCCAGCTATATGGCGGCGGTCTGTAAATAATCGAGTCCGGACCAGACAATCAAGTGATCAACAGCATGAGCATCGATCCACGCAATTGGGATACGATGACATGTGTCAACCATGTCAGTGAGCCTGACAACCCGATCTCGTTAGTCACCTCTTACGACAAGCATGGGTTACTGAAGATCAATTCTAACCCGGATCTTCGCGGGTTCTCTACAGAATGGGAATGACACTGTGTACGAAGATTCGTTCACCGTTGTTATCCCTGTTCGCCATTTTCAAATAATAATAATAATAATAATTTAAGGTTCTACATTTTGTTATTGCATACTCGCGCTCGTGGGTTTAACCAAAGTGGCAACCGTCTGAGACCAGCATTACTTCGGGTTTTCTTCCCACAGTAAGCTCACACACCGAGGTTGAAATGAAATGTTGTTAAAATACTCGTTAAACTCATCTCACTCACTCATCCCACATGGGTACAATGTGTGAAGCCCATTTCTGGTGTCCCCCGCCGTGATATTGATGGAATATTGCTAAAAGCGACATAAAACCATACTCACTCACTCACTCACTCACTACAATTCTACAAACAGTCATGTGGTTTTCGCAACAGCAGATATTTTCTGGTAAATACCAAATAATGTTATAGCTGGCTGAGGTTTTTCCAGACTATTTCTAGTTCCCGATTATATGCATGTGATTCCCACTTGACAGTTTAAGCATCGTCACTTACTCCACAATGGCCGTTTCCTCGTAAATAGTCACACCACTTCCTATACTTAAGACGTTTCGGTTTCAATGTTATAAATATCATATACCATATATGGGATTTCCCACGCCTAGTCATATCCTAAACATGCATCCGAGACTATATAAACATGATGTGAAGGTTCAGATCTCAGATGACTTCAAAAAGTCGTGTGACAGGATCGAGTCTTACGGACAGGGGTGAGCTCAGTTGCACAAGTTACCAGATCAGTTTCCGGTTAGTAACATTTCATACACTCCTCTCCACTTCCGGTCAGAAGCAGTTCATACACTCCTCTTTACTTCCGATCAATACCAATCCGTACATAAATCTCTACCTGGCAGTATTTGTTCGTACGCACTTTCCCCCATTTTCGGCCATTAACAAGTTCATACACTTCGCCCCACGTCCTGTCAGCAGTAGTTTATACACAGCCTTCTCCATTTCCGGTCAGTCCCGGGTGTGACATGTTTTCAAATTCCAGATGCTGGCCCCCACAGACAAACGAATATGTCACATTTGTGAGGCGTCTGTTTCAAGTTTGTGTATGGGAGATCTTCTGATGTCGTCTGTGTGAAATTCTCTAGTGCAGGCCGCGGGATCCATATCTTGTTTACTCACAGTTGTAGGGTAGATTGGGTATTCGGCAATGAGTAAAATGAGTAAAATAACTAAATTATTAATAAATTAACTTGTACATTAATCACTGCAGTACCGTAATGTACACGTAATGTCTGTGTTGAATAACCAATTAAAGTTCTGCAAGCTGACACAGTATATAGGGTATTTCTGTACAACGTTGCTATCATCACTATTTTATAGTGATTTTAATCCATCACACTGATCTTGAAACAAACATATCCAATACACCCCATGCTAACCTATAACATTTGTTACGTCTTCTAGATTTTTTTCACTAATAACATAATTGAACAACTGCTTTTTCTGTAAAATATATTCATTTCAGCCTCTAGATTTTAGTCGTGTAGGTTCCTAAACAAATGCGTATGGGGTCGAAATCCTACAATGGATTATAGTTTAGTAGAGATTTATTATCACTTTTTGAAAACTTGTGTGTAAGAGGCTGAAATAGTTAGTGGGTATTCCAGTGTATGAAATAAGCCAAAAATCCAGCCAGTCATCAGTCAACTTCAAAATCTTACCAGCCGAAAATGGATTTAACCAGACCAAATATGGTGAATTTACTCAGATGTATGGAACATCTAATATTTTTACCAGACCATCGGGCTGGCTAGCTGTAAATTTAGACCGTCCGTCAGAAATCTAGACCGTCTCGGTCGGTCGGACGGGCCTTATTTCATACACTGTACAGTATTCGTATGCATGCCTCATTGGATTATGATGTATGTATTTCATATTTGTCAGGTGTTTTGTCATTTCTGAACCCCAAACCTGTTGTGTATCTGTTTTAGACACACCCAAGGATGGCAACCAGCCTAGGTACCCTTATAACACTAGTCCTCCTCGGTCTGAACGTAATGACAACGACAGCTTGCACAGGATGCGTGTGTTTCGCAGAGTTCGCAACATGCTCCGATATCAACAATCTGTCAACTCTCCCGGCCCACATTAAAACATTGATTGTCAGGGACATCAAAGTGGAATCGCTGCCAAGTTTTGCCTTCAGTCATCTTAAACAACTGACCGAACTTGACATTCAGTCTTCCTACATCGGCGTTGTTCGTAAGAATGCATTTAGTAACATTGACAAACTGGACATGCTGTCCATATCGTCCAGTGACGTATCAGTCGTTGAGAATGGAGCGTTTTACGGCCTGAGAGGCATGTCTTCTCTGGAAATACGTGACACCAGACTCGATAAAATCGAAACGGATTCTTTCTCGAATATCACTGATGTCAGCGAAATTACAGTACAATCATGCAACATTTCAGTTATTGAAACAATGGCGTTTCATAATTTATCCGCTGTCGGCATTTTTCAGTTTTACGAGAACAAAGTTGACGTTATTCAAGCTGATGCGTTTTCAAACTGGAGAAACGTCAAAACAGCCAACGTGAATTCTAATAGATTCGACAGATTCGAGTGTATCTCCGACACATCGTTCGCCGTTGCCTTTTCATTCAACTTCTTCAAGAATTATCTGACATGCGAATGCCACGTAGCTTGGATTCTTACATCACCGTATCTGAAAGACAAGTTATTGTCCAACATGTGCTTTGCTCCAAAGAGTCAAGAAGATTTAAGCATGTCGGTTGTAACGAAGTCCGATCTCAGTTGCCCTGTGGACCCTTCGTCATTACAAATGGGATGCCCTTCTGACGCGGTACTGACGTCACCTCCGGTCATTAATGTGGATACGACAACGTCACGTCACTCACAAATGACGTCCTCATCCATGTATACGTCGCCGACTACATCTACAACCAAACCGCACACTGAGACGACTACGACATATGAGCCCTCGTCAACAGCAAAGACTACAGTTGAGACAGAAGCGCCGGAAGTGACCGACTTCTCACATTTATCATTCATTGGTCCTACAACTTCCGGTGAGACCTCCGGAAATAGTGCGCCTTCCTCAACTGACCAGTCACCATCCAGTGTTTCTCCCAGTAGTTCCGGTCACTCCTCGAGACTGACCAACCCTCAATCGTGTGTCCCAACACTGATGGCTATTGTTACCGTGTTCCTCTGTACTGTCACAGTGTAGACGGATCCTGTATTGGATAGAGCGATGACGTCAGTGCATATTGTGATCAGCCCAGTTAATACATAGAACAATGACCATACATACCCAACACCATATACAAATATGTATGGAGTCTGGCCAGATGTCGCCAGTCACGACGCGCCAGACCATTAACAATGAAAGAAAACGACGTTCCTAATTAGAGAGATGATTTTTTTCTGTTTGGTTTTTATTATCCTCTACATTCGGTGAAAGGGGAAAACACTTTTAGCTCTTATGAATTTTGTTTGCTTGTTGTTAAACGCCGGACTCAGAAATATTCCAGCTAAATGATGGCGGTCTGTAAATAATCGAGTCTGGACCAGACAATCCAGGATCAACGGCTCTTTTGAGACCAGCATAGCTTCTTCAGAAAGAGGCAAAACTGACATTCCTTGAACTAGAAGTAACCGATACCGTCCACATATTCTAGACGAGCGATGATAGGAAACACTTTTAAAGTCACACCTAACATGGAAGCACTTCCATGTCGGCAGTTTGTGATGCTGATGTCTGACACAGGAGTGAGGAACTGTATTCCATGTATAGGATATGCCAATGTATATACATACCAATTATGTGAACAAAGAATTAAACTAACACTGGACTTCCGTAAATTATGTAAATAGTTAGCTGTTTATGTATCATGTTTTGTAAATAAACAAGAAATAAAATGATTATTTTTATTCTTTGTTCTGAAACTGATTCCTCTACGGAGCTGTGGGGTAGCCTGGTGGTTAAAGCGTTCGCTCGTCACGCCGAAGACCCAGGTTCGATTCCCCACATGGGTACAGTGTGTGAAGCCCATTTCTGCTGTCCCCCGTCGTGATATTTCTGGAGTATTGCTAAAAGCGGCGCAAAACTGAACTCACTCTCCCATTCCTATACAAAAGCAGTAACAGCAAATACACAGTTCAATGTTTTCATATCTCCATGGTGTAGTGGTTAGAACGTCCGCCCGGAGAGCGGATTGGAAGGTCGCGGGTTCGATTCCCGGCCGCGTCATACCAAAGACGTTAAAAAGTGGTACTTGTTGGTCCCTGCCTGGCGCTCGGCATTAATGGGTACAACAAGGACTGGTCGGCTCGGAGTCAGTATAATGTGTCTAAGTGGGGTATTCATGCTTCACTGCGGCATGGTATCTTAGTGGGCTAACACTATAAAGCCAGTTTAAGTCTGGGCTAGTACAAGCAGCCACACATACACGCGCATGCACGTCGCCATATGAGCGAAATATTCATAAGTGCGACGTCAAACCCATCTCACCTCACCTTGTTTTATTATGTGAATATCCTGTTTGCTATTTCGAGACAGATAATTGTTGCTAACTGTGGAAGGACGTGCTATGCGGATTTCGGACCTACGGCCCTGCACACCGGACCCGAGGCATGATACAGTGCCGGATGCGGTGCCGGATGCGGTGCCGACTGTAATGTTTACATCAATCCAATCCAACTCCGCCCCCATCCATACAGGTACCAGGATCCCCAGTCTACAAAACCGGATTCGCTTGAACTGGTTTAAAAGTACCAGCGTGCTTTCCTCAAACGTCAAAGTGACACGTCATTTTATAACCGCAACAATGTTCAAAGCGGCGTTAAACCCACTTCACTCACTGTGTCTGGGGGCGGTGGGGTAGCCTAGTGGTTAAAGCGTTGGCTCGTCACACCGAAGACCCGGGTTCGATTCCCCACAAGGGTACAATGTGTGGAGCATATTTCTGGTGTCCCCCGCCGTGTTATTGCTGGAATATTGCTAAAAGCGGCGTAAAACCATATTCACTCAATGTGTCGTATTGTTAAAATAGCATGCACTTCTGGTTATAATTGGTCTCCATATGCATGAACCGATACATTGGAGAGACTTCTAGCGGAAGTGGGTGGTCAGGCTAGTAGTCTTGGTTGATGCATACAACCACATCAAGATTACGTGGGTGCTCATGATGTCAATCACTGGATTGGAATACCTAGATTCGATAAGCTTCAATATGGCGGAGAGGAAAAAACAAACAAATGCGATTTTTTTTTGTTTAACTCAGCAATACCTAAGCTATATGGCGGCGGTCTGTAAATAATCCAGTCTGGACCAGACAATCCAGTGATCAACATTATGAACACCGATCTACGCAAGTGTGATACGATGAACTGTGCGAACCCCGTCGGCAAGCCTGTCCACCCGATCGTTAGTCGCCACTTACGACAAACATGGGTTGCTGAAGACCAGTTCTAACCCGGATCTTAACGGGTCCCAAATGGGATGTGGTGGTGGTGGTGGAATTGGGTTTAACGTCGTGCTTGAGAATATTTCGCGCATATGACGACGTGCATGCGTATGTGTATGTGCGTCTGCTTGTACTAGCCCAGACTGAAGCTGGTTTTATAGTGTTAGCCCACTGAGATACCATGCCGCAGTGAAGCATGAATACCCCACTCAGACACATTATACTGACTCCGAGCCGACCAGTCCTCGTTGTACCCATTAATGCCGAGCGCCAGGCAGGGACCAACAAGTACCATATTTTAACGTCTTTTGGTATGACGCGGTCGGGGATCGAACCCGCGACCTTCCGCTCTCCGGGCGGACGCTCTAACCACTACACCACGGAGGCGGTCCCCAAATGGGATGTATAATGAATGACTGTTTTGTCAGATATTTATAGTTATTTACATGCAGTATTGATGTAAAGTTTGACTTGTGGTTAAGGCATTCCCTCCTCACGCCGGAGATCAGGATTTTATTCTGCATATGGGTAACTGGAAAACCCATTCCTGTATGCTCATCTCGACATATGGGTATTGCTAAATACGGCGTAAAACTAAATCCATTCGTGTGATTATCGACCCACGCCGTCGAGACATGATGATACACAGTAAACGAAGTTGAAATACTTCAAAGGCATTTAGAAGTTGGTGTAGTAATACAAGAGAAATCTTATGGATAACAACTTCTTGATTTATTTTTCACAACGTTTCTGGGCTAGTTCTTGCCCCTTCTTCAGGTGGATAATGGTGATAGTGAACAGTACAGTATATTTATAGATATACAGGAAGCCAGATATGTAAATTGAGTATATACAAGGGGAAAAGGAGGTATAATTAAGTATGTACAAACAATGCAGTGAGATCAAAGAGCAGAATACAATGATAGGGTATGTTTTTACAATAAGGGCAAGGTGTGCTTACATATCAGAGTGGTTAAAGCAGATTGAGTTTGAGAGTCTATGATTTCTGGGTGACTCACACAGTTTTCTTTTGCGCCAATTGGTGATGTTAGAAGCCAGGATTTCGGTGTGTTGCCAGTTGATCGAGTGGTTGGGATTGTTAACGATGTGTTCTGAGAGGGCAGATCTGAGATCAGATTTTCCAACTGAAGTTGACGAACTGGCCATCCGATCCATAAACTGGCCATCCGATCTATAGAGCTAACTACGTGAGTGAGTTGGGTTTTACGCAGCTTTTAGCAATATTCCAGCAATATTGCATGACGAGCGAACGCTTTAACCACTTAGCTACCCCACCGCCCTGAAAGTTAATTGACGTATGTTTTGAACCTTATTCGAATTCCACAAGAAAGAGACCTTACAAAAACTGTATCTCCATTCTGTTCTGAGTCGTTATATTACGGGAATTTCGCTGAAAGCGGCGTAAAATCATGCTCACTGAAATTACCCCTGGACAAATTTATTCACCGATGTGACTTCGTTTGAAAAATGACGTTCCTGTCTCTAACTTTGCCCAGAATCATTCGTGACAATAATTTGTTTTGACACCCACGTTAAGCATATTGTTGGAATCGGGTCTAAACTAATCTATGAATGAATGCAGGGGTGTTATCATAATAAAATGGATGACAAAAGGAACTCGATGTATCATATTTGATTTTGTGTTAAAAAATGTGCTAGTTCATTTCCAGTACAAACGTTAATATTCTTCTGTTTGCGTTTGTATCAGGAATCAGGAGTCAGATATCAACTACCTAACTTTAACGTTTTTGAATAAAGCGTCCATAATATATCATTTTTGCCATATTAGTGGTATTCCGATAACGGAACATTTACATTACTTCCCTTTGAAAAGATATTTAAATCCGGAAAATACGGTTGATATTAAAAGACTTGTTATATTGGGCATTGTCATTCAGATATGGCCATATATTTTCAATTTTCACATGGAATACTTTATAAATCGAAAGTTGTAACATATTGTTGATGAAAGAAAATGTCATGCGCAAGAATGCCGATTATCAATGTTATATTTTCAGCACTTTGTCCGGTATGTCAATCCGAATGAATCTGAGGATTTCAGCTATGTCCCTTCACGAACGTTTTGTAAAATTACAAGCTACGTAGGGTGTAAACATGGAGTGTAAGTACAACTAGAACCAACCAAAATATTTCACAAGATGACAGAAAGATCACTAATCTGGTTTATAGTTCTGAAATTCAATTTCCTTTTCAGACAACGCCATTCCACTCCAACAGTAAAATGGCATCCGTAAGGGGATTATGACGGCTGAATCCGTCATTTTCAAGTTCGCACCGTCGTTGGAAATAAATAATTATTTTTGAGGAGATTTCGGTTATTCTACTTGTGTCGCCAGGATGGAAGAGGAAACACAACCAGGACTTGCGCCGTGAGTTTTTAGTTTTCTGCAGCTATTAGACACTGATAAGGTCAAGCGGTCGGTTCTCAAAAGTTTTAATCTGTGACAAATATGAGTAAATAATGACGTTTTGTGTTAGTCACAGACTCTACTAATGTCGGGGTAAATATTGTGGAATTAAGGAATTTTGAAGCAATCTCTGTACCAACAAAAGTTGGTTGTTGCATATAATGCCAGTTGTGTAGATATATGATCATGATATCAATCACTGGATTGTCTAGTACAGACCTGATTATTTACAGACTATTGTCTTATCTGGAATATTGCTGAAATTGGTGTTAACAGCAGACAAATTAAGATATCTGGGTCAGCAAATGTATAGTTTGTTTGGGACTTTGCACCTGCAAAAGTCAAGGACCTAGACACCATCTTGGCATGCCAAATATCCCATTTTCCTAGTTCACAGTTTGACCAGGACTGTCATGAATAATGCCATGAGACAATGATTATAAAATTTGCTGAAGAAAAAAACATCAGACCACAGGATGTTTTAGAGAAGAACTTCATGCTTATTCATGGGTCAATCCACTGCTTGAGGCTGAAGAATGAACATGATGAATATGTATGAAGTTTGCTGAATAGTTCTCCTAACAGTGATCAGGCACTAACAGCACTACAAGTAGATTTTGAAAGGGCAGCAACAACCCAGCTGTCAAAAGATATATATGATTTATTTTATTGTCAGTTTAGCACCGCACAATTATACCTATATATAGGCCATCATGACCTGTAAATAATTGATTATGTAATTTTAGGGGTGAAATGGTATGCTGTTACCACGGTACAGTACAAAGCCTTCGGTTCAGTATATGAGATATGATCACAATGCAGAAAATGTACTTCCAGAGCCAAACCTTACGTTGTTTAATGACATGGAAAAAAATAGCCATAATCTTTGTTATTTTGAATGAACAAGACTGTCATTTTATGACTAGATAGAAATGACATGAAGAAAACTGAAAATACTGAATTGTTAGATTGCATTACGGTATACCGAACCGAAGGCAAAATACACGGATCTACTAATACTGCGGTGTACGGTTTCACCCCTACCATGGCTACTGATAAACCTATGAGTGTTATGAGCAACAATCAGCTGAAGGCCAACTGACAGCCAAGTAACCGAGCCTGGTCTTACTCAGACTGCCTTATATGCGAAGCAGGGAGTGACTTATTCTAACCAGAAACCATTCTGGGAAAAGATTTGACCAGATTTGACCAACTTTGACCAACTTACATGATCTCCATAACTTAATATTATTTTTTGGTATCAAGATGAATACAATTGGCTTTTGCAGGAGATATTACATGGGTAAGAAGAAACAATACGCCCTGTGTTGACATTGGCTACTGTAATCAATTACTTATCATCAGGGGTGGAAATACCTGTAAAATTGCTAGTGTACTCCGGTACAGTGGCACATGTAAAATCACTTGCCCTGATAATTTTTCCACTATACTGGCTGATTTTCTTGTTGATTTTTCAAATAAACAACAAAATTAACATTGGAAAGTCAACTGGACACCGGTACAGTGTGATATACAAATTTGCTTGCCCGACAGAAAAAAAACACTGGACTGGGGTGTCGGGCAATGGGTTATTTCCACCCCTGATCATGATCACTTATCATTTCCCTGCTACTGAAGCTGGTTTGCAGTACTTTTTACAGTCAAGTCACTGGTTATTAGAGTTATCTAAATAAAGATGGCAAAATGTGTTTGATGATAAATAGAATCTAGGCCTCGTGTCTTTTGAATATGTCTTTGTGACCTGTGAAGATCCGTTAGAATTGTTCTTCAGCAACCCATGTTTGCTGTGGTGACTGATGGGATCAAGTGTTCAAGCTCACTGACATGGTTGACACATGTGATCATATCCCAAATTTGTATAACAATGCTCATGATGTCAGTCACTGGATTGTCTGGTCCAGACTTTATTATTTACAGACAGTTGTCTTAGTTGCAATATGCTTAGTGTTGAGTTAAAAACAAACAAACAAACAAAGCAGTATTTTTTTGTCAAAACACTTGTCAATAAAAGTTTAAAATTCTTAGGATTGGCCAGTGTTGATATGTTTGACATCAAAGACACAAGAGTGTGAGATTCTCTTTGTAGTGAGTGAGTTTAGTTTTATGCTGCACTCAGCAATATTCCAGCTATATGGTGGCGGTCTGTCAATAATCGAGTCTGGACCAGACAATCAAGTGATGAGCATCAATCTGTGCAATTGGGAACCGATGACATGTGTCAAACAAGCCAGCGAGCCTGACCACCCGATCATGTTAGTTGCCTCTTACGACAAGCACGGGTTATGGAAGATCAATTCTAACCCGGATCTTTATGGGTGATTCTTTTTGTAAACATTATCAGATGTGGCAGATGTTTGAATGTTGTTTTCTAGACAAAGCGAGGAGAATGTTGATGTTGGTGATCCTGATGCTGTGTCGGTGGCGACATCTATTGGTAGTGACTTCAACTCCTCTCAATCTCAGTGGGCGCTGGTACCACAGAACACTCTCATCACTTTCCACACCCTGCCATTCAACTTGGAGCAGATAGATGGTGCCACTGACATTGAATCCATTGAACAAAGTAGCCACATAACAGCTATTGAGGATGTTGCTCCCAAACTGGAAGAGTCTCTAGTTGCTCAAAATGTCATCGATGCCCAGATCGATGGTCAAGGTCATTTCCCAGGCAACACGGTTGTGGACGATGTTGTTGGAGTGCCTGCAGCAACCTTCTCAGCAGTGGTGGAGGAGGCATTGGTCAAAGGATCAGTGGAGACATCGGTTCAGGTGCAGCTTCAAGCAGGAACTTCAGACACTCGGACTGAACAAACAAGTCTGAACAGGGAAGAGTTCACTGTAAGTTCAGGATGTGTTCAGAATAGGAATGTTAGCCTGAGATAAAACAACAAAATACTACTGCAGTCTTGAATAATTTTAGGCCACTATCATGTCTACTACATAGTCTCATTTGTATGACCGCCTCCTTGGTGTAGTGGTTAGAGCGTCCGCCGGAGAGCGGAAGGTCGAGGGTTTGATCCCCGACCGCGTCATACCAAAAGACGTTAAAATATGGTACTTGTTGGTCCCTGCCTTGCGCTCGGCATTAATGGGTACAACAAGGACTGGTCGGCTCGGAGTCAGTATATTGTGTCTGAGTGGGGTATTCATGCTTAACTGCGGCATGGTATCTCAGTGGGCTAGCACTATAAAACCAGCTTAAGTCTGGGCTAGTACAAGCAGCCGCACATACAAATACACACGTATGCATGTCGTCATATGAGCGAAATATTCTCAAGCACGACGTAAAACCCAATTTCACCTCACCTCACCTCATTTGTATGAGTATGAACAATCCCGTTGTCATACAGCATTATGACAAATGCCTCACATATTACAAGTTACAACTTACATTTTGGTTCATACCGAGTAATCATAAACATCTATTTACATTAATTTGGTCAACATGAATGTTACACTTGATAGATTGTACCCATGAAGATCCATGTTGGAATAGGTCTTCAGCAACCCATCCTTGTTGTAAGAATGCATATGGGATTGGGTAGACAGGCTCACTGATGCCTGTCATTCTATCCAAATTGCAAAATTCAATTGAAAGAGCTTTGAATAATTTCTGAATATGTATTCTCAGATATATTTCAAATTTACTCCCCCCCCAAAAAACATGATAGACTTACCCACATTGATGATGTTTTACCTCAAATACTAATACTAATATACATTACACATACATAGTTAACATGGTTCAAATACAAATAAATTTCAGTCTCTGACAATGGAGATATCAGTCATACTACTGATAACGTTTCCTCGCCCTTTGCCCAGTCAACTTGAGTTGCCTGGATCACACTAGTGACAAGGACTAAATGAGATCCAGATCATTTTACTTATATTGACCAAAACAAAACCCAGATCTGTATAATCGGAAAATCTTTAATATTGTCCCCAACACTGAGTGCATTGAATAAATAGTAAGAGGATGTAATGCTCAATTTTATATTATTGCTTATATTATTTACAGTCTCAAAACACAATGTTGAAATGTGCCTGCCTCTGAATTGAATGCAAACAAGAACTTTAAAAAATCCCTTTCAAAAGGCCTTCAGTGTAAAGTCCTGGATAAATCCCTGATTTCCTCAATATAATGGTGTTGTTTCAATTATGATTAATGTAAATAGAGATTATTAACCCAGTGTGTTTCCGTGTCATTAATATCATATATTAGGAATAAAAATTGTATTAAGCGAGCCTTTGGGGAGCATAATACATAGTTTTTATTCCTAATATATGATATTAATGATACGGAAACACACGAGGTTAATAATCTCTTTATCATATAATGTCATTCTTAAAATTACTCTAAATATAGAAGCAAATCGTACGTGAATTTATATGAAGAGAACCGAGCATTCACAGAAGAATACTTAGTGGTACACCAAGGTGAAGGTTGTTCATGGCCGCGGCATATGGTTGTGACTAGTTGCTAATACAGTGCAAACAAAACTCATGCTTAAAATGAGATCTTTCTGTCTAAAAGGAGAAACAAAACCGGGCAGAGTTTTCCTGGCAGTATTTCTATTTTCATTGCGGGTAATCACCTCATCAATATCAGTTTCTGATACCTGACGGAATCGATTCGTCATCTGCATTGTGATCGATAGATCGAAATCCTTGGTTGGTACCTTTCTTAGACGATTGCTTTTCAGTCGTGCCTCATAATCCGTACCTTCAAAGTGAACGAAGTACTCCGTTTCATGTTTTCCAAAGTCAATTACTGCAGTAACGACTCCAGAACCTCAGTCATCAATTCTTACAGAATCACCAATTTTGAGAATGGGGGCAACCATGTTTGTTTACAAACATGTAAATTCGTGACAACGGCGTCATCAATGAAATGTTAACGTTTTAGGATTCGCATGGCGTGTATGGAGTTTTGTGAAAGTAGTTCGTGGATTGACGTAATTTGCATAGTTATCAGATTTGGATATCAAGTTTATCAGATTGCTTTATTGCACCGATAACAACCTCCATTAGATGATAAAGTTTGTTACTTGATGAAGCAACAAGGTCACTGATAAGGGAAGGGAAGTAACTCATCTTGTCACAACCACTAACCTTGTTTCTCTTTCTGTTTCATAGTCATGTCAATTTCACCAGAATGCCAATATTATAAAGACATACTTTAGAAAATATCTTTCATCAATCATGAAAGCTTTGAAAAAGGCTCTATTGGCAAATTTGAAAAGTGTCTAAGGCTTATGTAATACAAGAAGAAGTGACAAAAATGGCAGCCATCTTGGAAATGGCCACCAAAATCGTATTTAGCAGGACATTTGAAATTTCCATCACAAGAAATCATACAGTTGAAACATCAAGTAAAAAATCATATTGGTTATTAATGTTCCTCTGTATGGTAGTCTTAGAATTGATCTTCGGCAACCCATGCTTGTCGGAATATGTGACCAACTGGATCGGGTGGTCAGGCTCGCTGACCTGGTTGATGCATGTCATGGTTTCACAATTTTGTAAATCGATGCCCATGATGTTGATCACTGCATTGTCTGGTCAGGACTCGATTATTTACAGACCGCCGCCATGTAGCTGGAATATTGCTGAGTGTGGCTTTAAACAGCAAACAAACTGTTTGGTGATCAGATTTGCTATGGATCATGGACTATGATGAACTGTAGTTATACCAGTTATGACGTATAACTGAGACTCTTTATCCTTCCAGCCGGAGATTTTCTGTCAAGTATCAGCGACCCTGTCCGCTGCACTGCTGCATGCTATACCTGGCAGTCACTCAGTGCTGCTTGACGAGGTGCAGGCCGATGTCCGAACACACCTCAACATTGACAGGGAGAAGGACTACACCATCATCGGCAACGTCAGCATGCTGGTCCGAGTTTACAACAAACTGCAGGCCATGATGCCCTTCTGTTCAAAAACTAGGTAAGTCTTGACAGGTGGTGCCTCTAGATTAAGGACTGTGAAGATCCGGGTTAGAACTGATCTTCAGTAATCCATGCTTGTCATGAAAGGCGACTAACAGGGTCGGGCGGTCAGGCTCCCTGACTTTGTTGACACATGACATTGTGGCCCAATGTGATACGCATTTTATCGAATCGTATCGTTCCAAGATATCGCGATACGTATCGTATTGTGAAATTTCTGTATCGTCACACCTCTACCAGAAGTTCAGTTTTAAGAAGTATCACACGTACCTATGATTATTATGATATCACTGGTACATGACTTGTACATTTCTTTACCATTTCCCGGGGCGGTGGGGTAGCCTAGTGGTTAAAGCGTTGGCTCGTCACGCCGAAGACCTGGGTTCGATTCCCCACATGGGCACAATGTGTTAAGCCCATTTCTGGTGTCCCCCGCTGTGATATTGCTGGAATATTGCTAAAAGCTGGCGAAAACTAAACTCAGTCAGTCAGTCTTTACCATTTCCACTGTTGCAGTGCACATTTGTCAATAATTCCAAGTTCATTGGATGTAATACTGGATTGTTTGCATACACTCTTAAAACAATGGTACAACTTGTAAAATATGCATGAAATTATATAAAATTTTCACTCCTTGTCATTTACATTTTTATGCTGACATTTATTTGGATATGAAATTGTGAAATGAATGAAAGGGATTATTTATGTACTTTCAACATTTTGTTGACAAAGTCAAGGGTAAACATTACTCACAAGGGTTGTCTCCCTTGCATCCAGACTTGTAGCTCTCAACAAGAATACTGATCAGGGAAGATGAAACACAGGCAAGGACAAAGGACTGTTTCAAGGACATGTGAAGGGACAATAATTCACCCCTCCCCTCTACACACAAAAATACATACCCTACACTGCTGTCCGCCCGGAAAAGCCACATTTGAAAAATTCTTTTTGCTGACAAAGCCACATTTCATTTAGAAAGGCAATTGCCGGTAAAGCCACATTTGCAATACGCAAACTAAGTAGAGAGTTTTACCAACTAGTTAAAAAAATGCCCCTGATATTGTTTATATAATTAGTCAGTTTAAGAAGATCTCAAACGATGTTTATATAGGACAAACATACGATCAAAGGATATATGGCAGAATACAGAAATAACAGATCTCAAATTTTGACACTGAGTTAATCTTGTTAACATCTTGCTGTATTACTGTCATGCTGTGCGGTACCTGCTATGCTGTTTACGTCATCGAGATGGCAAAACTTTGATGAGTACAAGTTTCACTGTGGAAGTTCTTGCGCACCGAGAAGAAGTACTGGGCCTGTGTCGTACAAGGAGCCACTTTATATAATGGTCAACAGACCAATAACAACCTTGAGGGGTGGCACCACAAGATCAACCAGTATGCCCTAAAGTGCCACCCCAACATTTTGAGATTGTCAAACTGTTCAACCGCGAACAAACATTTACAGAAGTTGCAGTCTTGAGAAGTAGAGGTAGAGGAGAGATAGACAAATTTCTTTGTAAAGGTGAATCGAGGAATTTGAAACCAGGGGCTAACTGTTGTCATGGTTATGATGCCTGACAAATAGAGATGTTAGCAGTCCTCTGGATGCGTCTTTGTTTACACAATGCCATTTACAGTGGAAACCTGATAAGTAAAATTTCAAGGGACTCGCCAAAATTGTATACTTATCAGGTATTTTACTTATCCAAACTTATAAAAACCTGCAAATGACAACCATATGCATGTATATGTATGCATATGTAACAGTGAACAACTTATCAGGGCTGGCAGTGTATTGTCAACTGCTTGACGCCAGCGAGCTGTAAGTAGGATGTTTGTTTGACTGGAGACTGACACGACTGTCCCTCATGTCGGATTATGTGGTGATCGCTAATTTAGTTATCCAGTATCTTTTGTTAAGTAATTTACTTCCAGGGACCGTAAGAAGACGTTTAGTTAAGCGGTATTGTTTACTTATCCGAGTTTAGTTAACCAGACTCTAATAGTGATAATTAATGAAGAAATTTGCCGGGACCAAAGAAAAGTGTTTACTTATCAGGTCTGTTTAGTTAAGCGGTCTTTACTTAGGCGGTTTCCACTGTAGAAAGTGGTCAAATGTACCATATAATCCCAAATATAACATATGCTACTCTTTGTTTAAGCCCTGGTGGCATTGTGGATCTCCTAGTGGTTGATATCAGTACGTTGTGTAGTACGTACTTATTCTGCCCAATAACCCACATGAGGATATACAGAGAGACAAAGTAACTCGTAACATCACTTGATATAGGTAAATATGTAAGTAATCTTATTGTGACAGGAATACTAAATGAAGTCAGTATTGCTAATTTTCAGATTAGAATTTGTTGATGACAACAAAGAAGACAGCTCTGCTGCAAGTGATGTGAAGGTGGAGCAGAACAGCAAGGGCACCATCTGTAACCTGTTGGTGCCGCTGGTGTCGTCCCACGGGCGGGAAGTCCACCAGCCCCTCCGCTACAGTGGCTGTGTGCAGCTCGGGGACATGGACCAGGAGGACGAGGAATACAAGCCTCGGCGAACAAAGCGCAACAGGAAGATGCTGCATCCCAGGAGGGTTCCCAAGCCCCAGGTGGACAAGGTGAAGGTCACCAGCAGTGAAGTAGGAGCAGGGGCAACTACTGCAAATGATGCAGGTAGGGAGTGAGTGAGTGAGTGTGTCTGTGTGTGTGTGTGTGTGTGTCTGTGTGTGTGTGTGTGTGTGTGTGTGTGTGTCTGTCTGTCTGTCTGTCTGTTACCGGGAATCAGTCATGCTTGCAGTGTTTATGGTACTGTCAGGAAACTTCAAGCTACTGGTATTTCATAGCAGCCTGTAGGTCTTCAGGTGAAAACAAAAAGCAAGGTCAAATGTTACAACCCCCTAATCCTTATCCAGTGACCGATTCTGCCTCCCAATCTCCCTGTGAGGCAACTTGCAACCGCAATGTCTTGATGCCAATGGAAGGGTCAGAATACTATTATGCACTTTTTTCCATGATGAAAACTCAATCATCTTCTAAATGTCACTCATGGGCAGGTATTGGGCAGGTGTGTACAGATATACTAACGGCAGTATTAATGTTTCTTTGCTATGATCATGATAATCAGGTAAATGAAAACATCATGATGATTGTATTTGTGATGATATACTTCCCTTCTCCATGGCCATTAAGACAACATCTGAATACACCATCTTTCTGGAGATCAGGTTCTGTGTCAAACCATCTTCCCGAAAAATGTTTAAAGATGGTCCTTATTGTTGCCCTGACTGGTGCATGGCATGAAAGTGTTAAAACACTGGTTTGCTAGCACTCTTAAACCCCCAATGTTTTGTAAAACAATCAATGTAATGAAGTTGACCGCAGCTTTATCTTAACGTCAGAAAAACATGGAAACAAATAAACAAATTTGTGTAATCACTAAGTTTTATTGTCACCAGTAAACAATATATGACATGACTAACCCAGGTATGGCTAATTCTGTGGGTGAATGTGTCTTGCTCAGGACCAACCCAGATGTAATAGTGAGTGAGTGAGTGAGTTTAGTTTTATGCCACACTCAGCAATATTCCAGCTATATGGCGCGGTCTGTAATCGAAGTCTGGACCAGACAATCCAGTTATGAACAGCATGAGCATTGATATACTCAGTTGGGATACGATGACAGGTGTCAACCAAGTCAGCAAGCCTGACCGCTCGATCCTGTTAGTCGCCTCTTACGACAAGCATGGGTTACTGAAGATCCAGATCTTTACGGGTCCCCAGATGTAATAGAAACACCATCGAAATAGTAGAGTGTCTCTGTACTTGTATCTTTTAACATCTTTTTCAGATGAATTACGAATACAGGAAAGAGCGAAAAGCAGGAGGAAATACGAGCTGAGAACACCATTCAAATACTTTTGCAAGATTTGTTCTTTCAAGACCAAGCGAGAGAGTCACCTGGGCAAGCACATGCTTCTGCATGAGAAGAACACACGGTTGTACCCATGCAGTCAGTGTAACTTCATTGCCATCCGCTACAGCGTCATGCGCAGACACGAGATCACCCACAGCGGACAGGGTCACAAGTGTGAACAGTGTCCGTACAAGGCAGATAACGCCAAGTTAGTCCTGAAACACAAGAGGCTGAAACACACACCCAAGAAATCTGCCCATCTCAAGTGCCCTGAGTGTAACTATAGAACCAGCCAGGATTCTTTGATGGCACGCCATATTCAGATACATTTGACGACCGGTGAACTCGAAGGGTTGAAGCTGAGCTATCCATGCCCTGACTGTGATTATTTGACATATCGTAAAGAGCACTATCTGCGGCATCGAGCTAATGTCCATGGTAACAGTCGGCCTTATTTGTGTGATCTGTGTGGAATGGCCTTCAAGCGTCCGGACACTCTTGCACAACATAAACTGACTCATCAGGATCGTAAAGACAGAAACTTTTCTTTCCATTGTAAGCAGTGTGAGAAAGGCTTCAGATCTCAGGTTTGTGTTTCTAGTGCTATTTTCCAGGTCTTCGTGTCTGAAGGACAGTGTGTCCTGTCAGTACGTTCTTTAAATTCTCCTGAACAGCTGAATGGATGATCTTGAATCTTCAGGATGATGTCTAGCATCATGCAGCTCATAATCATTCATAGTTTTTTTAAAACACGTTTACGTTGTGTAAACATCTTGAAAATTTTGTTATAATTATCTTTAAAAATCATGAAGTTTAGAAATCACCCACAGTTTTGGGCTCAGGGAATCTGTAAAGCAATTATAAAAGGATGTGCAGGATTGAAAGAAATGATTTTGTTTACAAGTGTGCATTGGGCACCCATTTTGTATGTCATGTACAGATGTTCCACAGGTACTCATAAAGAATGTGTGGATTTTGAGTTCATGCAGAATTGTAAGCGTTCTAACAAGAACAAAACTTTTGTTCCTTTCATTACTATGAGTTAGATAATACACAGTTGTTTTTTAAAATAGCTTCCCCTTTCCTGTATTAGTGAGGTTAATACTACGAATTGCCATTTATGATTCCAAAGGTTTACTTTTTTCATTGAGCATGTTAAGTGTGTTCATATGCTTATTTACTATGTAGCAAAGACCTGGCTTTTGCTTCCCCACATGGGTACAATGTGTTGTGTACCCTGTCATGATATTGCTGGAATAGCAAATGCACACACAAATTCTGATATGGAGGAAGGAGTTGGCAAATAATCCTTGAAAAAGAGATTGGAGACTTCATAACATTGCAGAAGAGAGAATGTTAAGTCTGAAATGGTTCCATTGTGAAGTCCTTCTGTAGACTGGGTTTGTTTATATTATTTTGCCCTTGGTTATTATTACTTGCCATATTAACAAGCACTATACCAATGATTTCTCCGCAGTCTCACCTGGCCGAACACCTGACCATGCACTCAACCGAGCGACCATACCTCTGTGATCACTGTGGAGCTTCCTTCAAGACTCAGAACGTACAGAAGAAGCACATCCAGACAATTCATGTGAATCCCCGATCCTTCGGCTGTGATAAGTGTAGCAAACGCTTCAACACTAAGTACGCTCTGCGACGCCACGTTCGAACTCACGACACCCAAGGCATGCGTGAGATGCAGAACCTGGCCGTAGAGCAGCTAACCACAGTGGACGCAGATGCTCTGCAGACTGTTCACACTGTCACGGAGCAGCCCACTCTAGTCCAAGATGTTATCAGTGCTTCAATGGAGGAACACTACGACCAATCGACTGACGGTCTTCGGCAGGCTTACAGCGTCATGCCAAACAATGAGACCACTACGGCTCTATTATACCTTACCAGCAACCTTCAGCTGGACTGATTATTTCCCTGGGGTATTCGTGCTTGTGGGTGTGGTACTGTTTTGCTTCACGGTGTGAAACTGGGTGTGTAGCAGCACATGGTATTATTTGATGTGTATTAAGGAGTCGGGTTGTGATCATATACAGGAGTTCAATCTCATTAGAATCAAATGATTATTTTGCTGCTACTCATCTCTGCATCTCACAGAAACAAGTCAGCATTGAACATGTAATTATTCTGTATGGATAAGCATATCTTATTTCTCTTGTTTTGAAAGGGCATTGGGGTAGCCCATTGTTTAAAGTGTTCACTCATCACACCAAAGACCCGGGTTCAGTTCCCCACATGGGTACAATGTGTGAAGTCCATTTCTGCTGTCCCCCGCTGTAATATTGCTGGAATATTGCTAAAAGCGGCGTAAAAGTAAACTCACTCACTCTTGTTTGGAAAATGAACAAAAACGGGCAGTTCCAAATGCCAAATAATAAAGGTATCAGTATTATGTTGTTGTGGATTTTACATACCCTGTTGTTTCTGAGCATCTGATCTAAAACTTGGTACTATCCGTGCATTTGTGATTTTTTTAAGATAGGAATTTCCAAAATTAGGCAAAAAAAATTAAGTTGAATTTGATTGACTGAAGAAAATATGTATCCTTCATTTAAACATCAAAGTTTGCACAGGGCTTGCATGTTGTGTTTTTCAGGTCCTTGTGCGGAGAGGTATCAAGGTAAACTATGTGTTTTATTTTAAGCTATTCAAACAAACATTGTAAGGGACCTTTTGCACATACCATTAGGAAATGGTAGAGAGGGGTATTTTATAAGTCATTTCCTACCAACTACACTGTGCTGTTTGTATATATTTATTGCTTTGTCCTTGTCCATATGATATCATGTCAATATCGTGGTACAAGAGGTATATCTTTGGTGAATCATTGCAGCTATATCAATTTAGATTTTGTATGTTTTTTTTAAGGGCAGTGTTTATTAGTTTCCCTTCTCTAGCATGGGTACCCGGTAGGATGAGACTGTTAACCTTTGAGTGCTTCACAGACAGCTTGTATTATACTCTGACTGATCATGAAATGTCGAGTGCACACTCATCCATTGACTAGAGTAGTAATGCAGTAATACTGGAGTACTTTGGTAAGATAATTACCTACCTTGTATTACTGTAGATAAACCGATCTCACAGATAAGCCGAGTTACTAATTTGACCCTTAAAATCAGTATCAAAATGGTATGTTCTGTACATAAGCCGAACCACCAACTAGCGTTCATCTTCTTGTTGTGAACAGTCATCGGAAATAGTTTGACATGTAAAGTGCCGACCGCTTCTACGGACTGCGTTTTTGGGTCCTCAAAATTCGGCTTATCTACGGTTATATACAGTATTAAAGCTTTGTTTCAAAACCCATTCAAATGATATGCTGTTCAATCAAATTACATTCATGAGTGTGATATACTTGTGATAAGAGATATTGAGATGGTGATGTCATGGGAGAAGTGACTCTGGGTGTTATTCATAACTGTATGGAGGTTGGTACTTTGGATGATCAAGGATGGGACATGTATACATACATATCGTCTGATGATCTGACAGATTGTTATTATCGCCCACCCTTTGAAGTTGTCGGGGAATATAGAAACGGGGTCTGTCTGTCCGTCACATTTTGTTTCTGGAGCCGATCTTGAAAACTGTACATGATTTCTTCACCATAATTGGTACATGGGAAGGTAAAGCTGTGAACTGGTGTCATTTCATTGTTTCAGATTTTTTCAAATGCATTTTTCGAGTATTCATTGCAGCGGCTTTGACTTTGGCAGGAAATGGTTGTAGTACTCATTCTGGAACAGATCGTGAAACTCGTAATATATTTCTTTACCAAACTTGGCAAATCTATTGGTCAACACACATTCAATATATAGTGTAGATGTGCAATTTAGGTGTTCTTCCAATTTTCATTTTTTATATAAGTTTTACATTTGGACTGAAGCCCCCTACTCATTGGCTGCAGTACGTTTCATAACCAGAGAAGAATTACAAAACTGTATGAGATATATTTACAACACTTCATACACACATGCATCATTCAGTGCAGATGTGCCTTTCATTACTTGTAATTCCTCTGAAGATTTTACTTTTTTGTCATAAATTTTATGTGGACTTTTTCCCTGCACATAAAATATGCTGTGGGTTTCAATTCAGAAAGAGAAGGAAAAAGTTCTGAGAGATATCTTAATGAACCTTGGTACATACATTCACTATAACATGGAGATGTGCCTTTTTCTATATAGGTTCCCCACAACATATTTTTGATATATGAATTTTATAAATATGGATTAAGTTCCCAAACTAAAGATGCTGAATAGAAGCAGTTGCTTTTATCTCCAGAGCAACTTTAAAAGCATAAAAGATGTATTTTCAAAACTTGGTACTTTCATTCACCATTTAATATAGATGTGCCTTTTACTTTAAGGGTTTTCCAACATGAAATTTAATTTTGAATTTAAGGAAACAAGTTGCACATAGAGATAATGACAACATTGATATGCATTACTTGGTTGACATGTTGCAACGTAATTTCTACTCACTAGTTCTAATTGATTGGCACACCAGTAGACAATGTAACATACGAAGCTACTGATGGAAAGCATTCCTAGGAGATGTGTGACAATTTTAACAGATTTTGAGGGGCAGGCATGGTCACTTGCACAGTTCTTGTATCATCTGCCATACTCTGGTAAAGTTGCTGTAAAGGTTTAGGATGTAACAATACATGTCTGTGTAACAATGCTACATATTACAATTCATGATAATCAAATGAACCCATTGAGCAGTACACAAGGAATCATAATATTCCAAGTCTTCACATTCATGATTAGAACCGCTCTGTATCATGACAGTCTTTCTATAGCTGATATTGTACACAGTTTATGGAGGTGCCACACAGTAGGTTTATTGGAAGAAGATATAGATCATCAACTTGTCTTGTTGGTTAGGGTAGTGGGGTAGACTAATAGTTAACGTGTTCGCTAGTCATGCCAAAGTCACCCCACTCCTGAATACATGAACCCAGGCGCTGTAACTATGTAACTACTCCCAAGGCACAGTAGGATAGCCTGATTGTTAAAGCGCCAAAACCCCAGTTTCCATTCCCACAATTGGTACAGTGTGTGAAAACATTTTTGCTGTCTCTTGCCGTGATAATTCTGGGATATTTCCACAACTCACTCACTTCAGTCATATGGTGGGTGGGGTAGACTAGTCATTAATGCCGAAGACCTGGGTTCGATTCCCCACATGGGTACAATGTGTGAAGCCCATTTCTGGTGTCCCCAGATGTGATATTGCTGGAATATTGCTAAAAGCAGCTTAAAACCATACTCACTCATAGTTGGTTATTATGAATGATTGACAAATAGGGAAATAGAAATGACTTACTACATTGTTAGGCACAGGCTTATGTTTATGCTGTCTGCTGTGTATGAGCGTAAAACATACTAACGTCATGGTGTTGTGTGACAGGCTTGTTCCTCATTTAACAAGATTGAGACAGAAAAAAGTAACATTCCTTTTAAGAATGCTGCACATTTCTTAATCCTACTCAAATGAAGTTAAGAACACCGAATATTTTCAAATGATTATATGTTATGGCTGGTGGTTATAGCAATATATACCCTTCCATTTGCAGCGATGTTTAATTTATTTGAGTTGTATATAACCTTTAATTCAGGTGAAATTACACACATTGATACAAGGGTGGAACCGTTTCTTGCCTCTGTCCATCTTCACCCACAAAGAAGCAACAAACACATACCAGCATACCATGATCATACCAATACAACATGCCATGTTATCACTACGTAACATACCAGCACAGTATACCATTAAGATACAAATACAACATATCATGCCAATACTAATTACCATGTCAGGGCGGTGGGGTAGCCTAGTAGTTAAAGCGTTCGCTCGTCACGCCGAAGACCTGGGTTCGATTCCCCACATGGGTACAATGTGTGAAGCCAATTTTGGGTGTCCCCCTCCGTGATATTGCAGGAATATTGTTAAAAGCAGCGTAAAACTGAACTCACTTACCATGTCAGCACAGCATACCATGACCATACCAATGTAACATGCCATGCTAACACTACTTAACATACCACTATGATATACCATTACCAAACCAATGCAACATACCATACCAACACTACTTGACATACCAGCATACCATGACCATACCAATGTAACATGCCATGCTGACACTACTTAACATACCACTATGATATACCATTACCAAACCAATGCAACATACCATACCAACACTACTTGACATACCAGCATACCATTACCATACCAATATAACATGCCATGCAGAGTATATCATACCAATACAGTAAAAGGTACCACACAATACAAACACCATTCTCTTCCCACAGAGGTTACTCCTGTCATATCTTCCTACCTAGGAAGATATGACAGGCGTAAAAGAGAATGTACAAACACATGCTGTCACAATGACTCATGACAAACCTACACATCTCATGACATACCACACCTTAACATACTAACACAATATGCCACACCATGTTGAAAACATGTTGTACAAACAAAACGCCATACCAATGCACATACAAACACATGAGGGCGGTGGGATAGCCAAGTGGTTAAAGCGGTCGTCACACCGAGGTCCCAGGTTCGATTCCCCAAATGGGTACAATGTGTGAAGCCCATTTCTGGTGTCCTCCGCGGTGATATTGCGGGAATATTGCAAAAAGCGGCGTAAAACTAAACTCGCTCACTCACTCACTTCAAACACATCATACCCTCCCAGCATATTGCACCAAACCAACACTAAATAGCACACAAACCAACACTAAATAGCACACAAACCAACACTAAATAGCACACAAACCAACACTAAATAGCACACAAACCAACACTAAATAGCACACAAACCAACACTAAATAGCACACAAACCAACATACCGGTGAAGCATTTACAGTCTGTACTAAGCTGTGTCAGTGTAGCTTTGTTCAGATCTACATGTAATGTCTGTAGTATTTATTACATTGCGGGAATACATCCTCACTGACATGTGGAAATGGTGCGTTTACTTTTATTACTTTCTTGTACACGGTGCATTAGCATTAAATTGACAGTTTGTGGTCGTGCATTTGTCATTTTTTAAAGTTAGCTTTCATAAGTCATGTTATCTTTCCTTTCCCCGAGCAGAATGCTGCCATATTTGGGATTGAATGAGTCTGGCATCCATGGCGCTGTTTCAAAAAGCAGTCGGAGCAAAGGGTCTTTGTTTGAAATTGTTTTGTTGTTTAACGCCGCACTCAGCAATATTCCAGCTATATAAGGCAGTGGTCTGTAAATAATTGAGTCTGGATCAGACAATTCAACTGCATGAGCATCGACCTATGCAAAGGGGATACAATGACATGCGTCAACCAAGTCAGCGAGTCTGACCACCCCATCCGTTAATCGCC